CCCCCAAAACCTAGACCCTACACCCCAAAACCCCTAAAGCTTTAGAAGATCCAGATCTCCTCGTGAAGGAGCCGTAAATCCCATAGATCCCCTGTCAAAGGAACCCCTAAACCCTGAACCCTAAACCCGAAACCCTAAACCCGAAACCCTGAACCCTAAACCCTAAGCCCTGAACCCCTAAACCCGAATCTTTCGAATCTCTGCTTGGCGGTTCGGAGCGCTCCCAATTTCGAGGCCGGCCATATGCCGACGACGAACTCCAACCGTGTCCTGCACGGCCCCCAAGAGTGCAGGGTCCGAGATTTGAGGGTTTCCGAGAATAGGGGACCCTAATATAATACCCTAAATACTAGGATCTTTACTATAAGGACCCCAAAATAAGGTACCCCCTTATTATCGGAAACTCCCATTTCGGATTTAGGGTTTAAGGCGCAGGGTTCGAGACCTGGGGGCTTCTTGCAATGAGGAGTACCAGAGTTCTACAGTATCTGTTTTCCTGAGGTTTCGGGTTTAGGGTTTAAGGCAGTTTAAGGTTTAGGGTTTAGGGTTTAGGGTTTAGGGTTTAGAGTTTAGGGTTTAGGGTTTGGGTTTCCTTTCAGTTTTTAACCATGCCCTGTAACAACAACCCTAAACCCTAAACCCAAAACCCTGTTCTAGTTATTAAGGCCGCTATAATTACATACACCCACCAGAAGTCCCAAAGTCCCTCGCAACATGCTGGGGGTGTACGGTTTGGGGAAGACCCTGTGAGGCGTACTGCTTAGTATTCCTTAGTAGCTGAGTGGGTAGCCTTAGACCTTTTTGGCGTGTATGTAATCCTATACCCTAAACCCCTAAACCCCTAAACCCTAAACCCCTAAACCCGAAGCTGCCAGGAGGTGGCGTCCCAGAGTCTGGTTGAAAAGGTTCACCTTTTCTGGGCTAGGGTACTCAGCCCCAAAGATTCAAAGCAAGAGTCTCAAGAGTCGTTATGCTTTCGAGGAAAGACTCCTGTCCTTGATAGCGATAGCATGATGTACATCGGTTTAGGGTTTAGGGTTTAGGGCTTAGGGTTTGGGTTTAGGGTCTAGGTTAAAGACGAAGTTACGCCGGAAAAAGTGTAAGGCTCATATGCCATACAGGGGTTCACAAAAGATTGGCACAGGGCCCCTACCTTCCAAGGGTGATTTGATCGTTCGGGAAGCCCCTACTTCGAGGTTCCTGGGTACTTTATAAATAGGGTTGTAATCAGGGTTGTAATTGGGCAACTAGAGTTACAAGCTATATGGGAGTTTCCGAAAATAGGGGACCCTAATATAGCACCCTAAATAATAGGATCCTTAATATAAAGACCCCAAAATAAGGTACCCCAATATTCGGAAACCCCCATATTCGGGGACTTGTAACTCCACTTGCAAATGTGATTATGTGTTGACGCTTCAGGGCTCTGAGGTTCTGAAAGTGTTTCGGCTTGTAGGCTTTGAGCCCGTGCCTTGGAAGCGTCATCTTCTCTTCCGTTGGTGGAGATACGGGAGTCTTCCTTGCTGCTGCGCTTTCTGAAACCCCGAAGCCTAAAGCTTCGTAGCCTAGAGCCCCATGTAACCCCTAGACACTCCCCAGCCTGCAAAGCCTCGGTTCGATCCCTTGCATATATATATATATACACATATATATATATATATATGTATATATATGTATATGTATATATATATATATACCCTAAACCCTAACCCCTAAACCCTAAACCGTGGAAATCCTAAACCCTAAACCCAAGCCCGGAAGTATCGAAAGCTGACCAGGTGGGAGGTGATGAATCAAGGCCTTGGGTGCTAGGGGCTTGGGGAAAGGGCTTAGGGCTTTAATTTAGGGTTTGGATTTTTTGGGCTTGAGCTTGGCTCGCCATATGGTTGGACTATGGTTCAGCACGGGTTTTTGGCTTTGTGTGCAGGAAGTGGTCGCAATCTATATAGGGATGGCCACTGCAGGTTTAAGGAACGTTCCATATTCAGCGGCATGGAGCCCTCCTGGTATGCTCTTGGGCTTAAAGTTTGAAAGTTTCAGCTTTTTCGGATGGGGGGTGTATGCAAATAGCCTGCGGACGGTCCGGTGAGGGTTCCGGTGTTTTGCTTCGTGTTTGAGGGCCTTGGGCGTTGCCGTGTACCGAGGGGTCCTTGTTGATTTGTGTCCTGGGCTTGAAGGACTTCAAGTCAGTGTGAAGGCGAAGAAGTACCTGTAAGTTTAGGGTAGTTTCGTGTTTGGGGTTGCAACACGTTCTGTCCACCCTACATTGTTGCCACCCACTCATCTTCGCCCCCCCTCCCCCTCCCCCCGGTGAAACATAGGTTTTGTTTTCCCGTAAACTAGCTGCAAGCAGATGCCTTTCCAAAAAAACAAACCTCTAATATCATAGTGCATCAGGCTAGGGCTGGTCGGGCTCGAGTTCCCGTAAACTTTCTGAAGAGGTGCTGTTTCGACGAACCAGACCCTAAGAATTGTGGAAGGTTTGTCGGCATGAGCAGAAAGCTTTCCTTACTTACGGCGTATCTTCTGAAGACCCTCCATAGCCTGCAGGCTTGCAAGTACAGAGATTTTGCAACCCTTACAGTCCAATCTGAAAGGGACCCTGTTTTTCCAAAGGAGCCCATTTCGAACCTTTACAGGAGCCTTTGTCTTGAAGAACATTCGGCACGCTTTAAAGGAACCCTGTGTAAAGAAGCCCATGTAGTGCCCCCTTTAAAAGGAGCCTTTCAGGTAGGCCTTTTTTAAACAAACCTGGATGGCACCCTCTAAACAGAACCCGTTGGAGCAAGCTTGAACAGTGACCCGCAAGGCGCCGACTTCGTTACGGAAGTGCCCTACATGCGATGGGACCACGAACTTTACTACGATGAGGATCCCAACTGCTGGATGCAGGCGCAACTTCCTCGCTAGAAAGGTTGCTATGAGGTTCACTACGAAATCTACGACGATCTAGGGGGCTGGGGTGTAGGCTGGGCTTCGGGTTTGGGGTTGGGGGCATCCTGTAAACCCTAAACCCCAAAGCCCTCAACCTCCACCAGGTCTCCAAGTCGCCCCTTTTTCGCTCGTTACTCTTGCTGTTACTGGGGATCCTGGGTTTAGTGTTTGGGGTTTAGGGTTTGGGGGTCTAGGGATTTAGGGTTTCAGGGTTTAGGGATGTGGCCATATTATTCCGGCTGTGCACACAAGGAAGCTTGAACTTGAGTTGAGGCTGAGTCTTGGCAGTTAGTAGACTGAGTTGTATCCCCTTACAGCCGATCCGGTTTAGGGTTTAGGGTTGATTGCGAAATGTCCAAAACCGTTTTGTCACCTCACATTAACTTGCACAGGCTTTCGCCCGCATTACCCCAAACATGGTCCCGGCAGCACGATCTTGACTCAGATAATATAGGGGCCTTAATAATTAGAATAGGGCTTGGGGTATGATAATTACAATAGGGAGCCCCCAAGGCCCCTACATTACGCTAGCTCACTCAGGCTTCACTTAGGATTGGGAGCAAAACCATCATCTGATACTTGTGCCGGGGGGGGGGAACCCTAAACTCCCAACCCTAAACCCTAAACCGAGCAGTAGGGCGGAGCTTCTCATGCAGTCGGTATAGCAGGAAATCCTCATGAAAGAACCCTTTCTAACATGACCACAACAGATTCACCGGTGAGTCGCCAGAGTGGCGCCTATTTGATGGTTGAGTGTTGAGGGTTTCGCGCAACCTGACCCCCCCAAATTCCAAGAGCGTACACTCGCCCTAAAAAACAAAAGCGGAAGCCCCAAATAGTTGAAAAAAACTCTACACCCGGAAAGCCCTGAACCTCGAATGCCAAACTTTTCAATCCCAAGACTCTTCTACATCTTCAGGAACCCTTTATAGCCATGCACAATCAACTGAACTCGTGGAACCCTAAACCCTACACATCCCTAAACCCTAAACCCTAAACCCTAACCCCTAAACCCTACACATCCCCCCTGCATCCGCCTCAACAAGCTGCAGAACTTCACACAGCGACAAAGCCCTCAATCTCCAAAAGCTCTAGGGTTTAGGGTTTAGGGTTTAGGGTTTAAAAGCCCTGTCACAATCTTCAGGCACCTCCTACGGCTGATGGACAAAATCCTGCATGACCTTAAGGATCTTAAACTATGGGAATTATGGTATATTCCTTTTAATGGGTAATGCAGGATTTTGTCCATCAACAGTATCTCAGAACCCAACAAGACTCCAACCCATCACAAACGCTCGTAATCCGTGAAACACATTGTAGGAAGCCTTCCACGCAACCAAGCGGTTGTTCCTTGCATCCAGCTTGCTACATGGGGGTTTCCGAAAATAGGGGACCCTAATATAGTACTCTTTAATAGGATCCATAATATAAGGACCCCCATAATAAGGTACCCCTGATTTTCGGAAACTCCCACATCTCCGACTAGCCTCTCAGACATTTCTTCAAGAGGGGTCCAATACTGCCCATACAAAGACATGCGCGGGGGAAGCGAGCCCAGCCTCATAATGTAAGGGCCTTAATGATTACCTATACTATTTAGTTTGGGGTTCCTTACTATAATTATGGTATAATATACCCCAAGAACCGTATTCGGATTATTAAGGCCTTTACAGTATGCCCTGGATGACTTCGGACTGATGACAACATGGCCTCGATCTGTATCGAAGTCAGTCTACTGAGCGGCAGAACGGCAAAGATCAGAAAAGAAGCCCAATGCTCCATTGAGGAGTTCAAGCAAGAGGCCTTGGATTCTCTAGAGATGTGCGCCGGTGTGCTGCTGACAACTTCGGGCGAGATGCTGTGCCAGGGAACCCTTGAGGAAGCCGGCTTGAAGGATGGAGATGTGGTCCTACTGCAGCAGCGGCAGGTCGACATCTTAGATTCCTTGGAGCTTGACTGTCAGCTCAGCTATCGTAGAGGAGCCTCCATACAAGCCCCCGAACGGTTCGCGATTCTGGAGCTGCTGGCACGAGGTGCGTACGGCATGATGTGTTCGGCTCGCGATGAGATCACGGGTGAAACGGTTGCCATCAAAAAGATGCAAGCTTTTGAGTCGAACATGCGAGCTGTTGATCCTATCCGCCACGCACGGCATGAGTTGAAGGAGCTGAGGCTCTTGCGGCACTTCCATCACGAGAACATCCTTCGTGTGACATACGTCTTCTTTCCAGGCTCGAAGTCGACTTTTCACGACCTCTACTCTGTCTCTGAGCTCATGGAGACAGACTTGGATGCAATCCTCAAGAGCAAGCAGCCTCTTCTTGACCAGCATTGCCAGTACTTTTCCTACCAAATTCTTCGGGGGCTGAAGTTCATGCACTCTGCTGGCGTGCTTCATCAAGACTTGAAGCCGCGAGTGCTGCTGGTGAACCGCAACTGCGACTTAAAAATCTCAAACCTTTCGATGGCCGCTCTGGATATTGGGGAAATAGGCGAAGGCTTCCCGCCCCGCGAAGCATATCCTTATGTCGGCAACGAGTGGTATCGAGCACCGGAGGCCCTTTGTCATTGCATCGGAAATGTATCTGGGTCCTTGTTGGATACCATAATTTTACAAGTTTTGTTATAAAAAAAACCCAATAAAGATCAGCAACTATGATGTTACAAGTTTTATTATAGTAGAACCCAATAGGGATTGACATTGATCATTTTCTTATATTGCCCCAACAGGGATCCAGGTATATGGGCCTGCCATCGATCTCTGGGGAGTCGGAGCGATTCTCGGCGAGATGTTCGCACGTCGGCCCGTTTTTCCCGGAAAGTGCGTGCAGCACCAACTGACGCTGATTGTGCAGGGCTTGGGCCCTGGGAAGGAGGAATCATCCCTGAGTTGGATCAAGAAGCTAGGTGGCAATTTGGGAAACTTTCAGGTTTCTAGAGAGGTACCTATTCATAAATACTTTTCAGGGCCCCAAAACTACAACCCAGGCAACCAGAACTTCGGGAGTTTGTGGAGTCACTCACCCCATCGGTGGACCGCGAGGCTTTCTGCGACGCCTTGGGTCCCATCTCGCCTATGGCGATGGAGCTTTTGGATGCTCTCCTACAGTTTCTTAGGTAGCCAATAGGAGAACTTTAAACTTTTTTGTCTTATCTATTAGGTCTATCTTAAAAAGTTTGAACTTTTTTGGGCCTGGTCGCTGAAGAAGAGAGGTTTGATCCTGGGCAGCGGATTTCTGCTGAGCAGGCCTTGACCTGGACCTACTTCGGGGACTTGGCGGGCACGGACCTGCGCTGTCCGGAGGATGAGCCTGTCTCTGCGCCGATCGAGTTGGGTGACTTTGAGTTTCTGAGACGAAAGATCGACTTACCTGCGCTGAGGGAGGAGATGTTCTTGGAAGCTCTTCACTACCACCCCGAGCTGAAGCAACGCTACCTGCGGGAGCAGTCGCTGATGGGCACCATGCACGAAATCGGGAAGTACGACCTGCTCACACTAGGTGAACATTGGCCCCACTGGCTGGATGCCGAGACTCGGTTCCGCGCATGACTCGGCAAGATTACGCGACCAACCGGTGAAGCCCCACAGCTATGCTGCAATCATAAGCCCGTGCACCGCCACTGTATTCTATGACCTACCCAATTACCCAAAGCCAGAACCCTCCCAGAAGGCCTTTCGAAATTCCATAAATCATAAATCCCCAAACCGTCAAGATTTACGCAGTCTCTAATTCCGGGGCCTCTCAGCGAACTTCTAAAGCCTACAAACAAAAATCAACACACGATAAAATCACATAGCAGCATCTGCAAAACCAAACCCAAGGAAGCCCCTCTCAACCTGTCAACTCTGTGAACCCTAAACCCAACCCAAACCCCTAGGCGTAAACCCTAAAAACACTTTGCCGTGTGAGTCCAACTGCTTCCGGCCGTGGCTGATCACGAAGACCCGGTCTCAGAGTGTTCAGAGACCCAGGGTTTAGGGCTTAGGGTTGAGGGTTTAGGGGTTCAGGGTCTATAGGGGCTTGGGGGTTTAGGGTTGAGGGGTTTAGGGGTTTAGGGCTTAGGGTTGAGGGTTTAGGGCTTCAGGGTCTATAGGGGCTTAGGGGTCTGGAGTTCTGCAATCGGTCACGAGGCGAGTCATGTGGACTGTCAAGCAGATTGATGCCAATTGATTATAATATAAGCACTATTTCGAGTCATGGGTCTGGATTTATTGTTTAGGGCCTGGGGGTCTTTTGAAGGAACTTTTTAGTGCCTTCAGGAGACTGGACCTTGGATACTTTGAAAGGGTGTCGCCAGTTTAGGGGTTAGAGAGTGGTGTGATGGCTCCTGTACGATGTTTCGGGGTCAGACGGTTTGGTCTCTAAGGCTTGGGGCTTGGGGCTTGGGGTTTCAGGTTTAGGGTTGTTCAGAGGAGTGTGGCCATTTACGTGCTGGAGCACTCCCTCTGCGACTTTGGCTACATGCTGGATCTTGTGCATGCATCGCAGACGGGCGCCTGCCACCTGTGATGCTGGACAGGTACCTGACCAGTCCGTACGCGCATGCCCTGTAGTTGGCATGGTGGCGCACATGCACAACTGTTGCCGCTACGCACGGATGACCGCTCATGCCTGGGATTACACACTTGGATTCGCCTTGACCCATAAGGCGGCCTTCTGTACCTGTTAGGTCTGATGTATGTTTGGAGCTTGAATATAGTGGCCTTCTTAATAAGAGTAAGGGCTGTAAGGGAATAGTACCACGAATGCTTCAGATTTTTCAGGGTCCTTATGGAACATGTGAAACCTTTGCAAAAAAACCGTTCTAAACCCTTACCCTATAGATCCCGACATCAGTCGGCACTCTCTAGCGGCCTGCGGATACCGCCCCAGAAGTTGTGAACTCTTTCCACCGCAAATGCACCGCGACTGGTATCTGGCAATCAAGATGAGGGGCCTCTAAACCTTAAACCCTAAACCCTAAACCCTAAACCCTAAACTGTTTTTATAGAAGAGAGTCCAGCATTCCTGAACCGGGATCCCTCAACCTTCGGAGTTGCGGGCTTTCGGGCCTAAGCCCTAAACCCTAAACCCACAAACCCTAAACCCTAAACCCCTAAACCCCTAAAACCCTAAACCCTAAACCCCCAAACTCTAAACCGTAAACCCTAAACCCCTAAACCCTAAACCCTAAACCCCCAAACTCTAAACCCTAAACCCCTAAACCCCTAAACCCCTAAACCCTAAACCCCTTCGTGCAGACATCTTCGTTAGATCATGACAGGAAGCCTTCGGAAGGTTCAGGTGCACGCCTCTCGCTAGGGTCTTAGGTTCCGGGGTTTAGGGTTTAGGGTTCCGGGGTTAGGGTAGCTTCCACAACTTCCAGGATGACGGAGACTCTGAGACGTCTTGATAGAGTCACCTCCTACAGATCTGGCCAGCCTTTCCGATCGTAGAGGTTTTGTTTGTACCGGCCAAACCCTAGAACCCTAAACCTGAAGCCATAAACCCTAGATTCTAGGAGTAGCTTTGGGCTCTCAGACCCGCATCCAAGACCCGGTATCCACGACCAACCCGAAACGCCAAGCCCCCAAGCCCCTCCTGGACCCTAAGAACCCCAAACCCCGAAATCCCGAAGTCCCAACTACGTGGGTAGTTCTCTCATTTAGGGTCCCTTTTGGGGGGGTCCTTTTTATAAGGATGCCGTACTATATTGGGGACCCAAAGAGGGACCCTAATTTATAAAGCTACCCACACGCAGGCCTAGCCCTGAACCCAGGGTTTAGGGTTTAGGGTTTAGGGTTTAGGGTTTAGGGAAACTCTACCCCAAAACCCTGAACCCTAAACTTTACCCCAAAACCCCAGGCCCTAAACCCGTAAACACAGTGCCCAATGCTTGGCAAAGGCGCCCCGTGACATTGCCCAGTGTGCCGTAGCGTAGCTCCCCGGCTGGAAAATGCCTAGGCTTTCCCAATTACCAGGACCCCCCAATGGCCCTTTAATAGAGCCCTTATGGTCCCTAATAGTGGGTATTTGGGGTATATTAGAGGGTAGTTGGGGGGTCTAGGTAGTGTTTGGTGTTTAGGGGTTTAGGGTTTAAGGCTTGGGGTTTTTGTCGCGGTGGCAGAAGGGATGAGGGATCCTAACCATGGAGGCCGCTCCTGAAATCGCTTCCTACGAACAAAGATGAAGAAGGCTGAACAAGTTACCCGAAAAATCACGGGACGCAGGAAGTGGGGGCGGGAAGTACGGGCTGCGAGTAGAACTACTCCCCGTCAGGGGATTGTATCGCACCTACTCAGGTACTCATGTAAAAAATGTAGCTGAACAACCATGATGTTTCTACTTTGTAAATATATATATATATATGTATGTATGTATATATTCCCGAAACAATAGGACCCATATTCAGAGCTACCAAAAGAGTTTCACAACCTTATGTGAATGGTTGTCTTCAGAGGCAAGGTTTGGGCTGGTCTGATTTTAAGCTTCAAGCACTGGCTCTAGGGGTAGTTCTCTGAATTAGGATCCCTTTCAGCTCCCCCAAAAAGTACGGCACCCTTGTAGCAACCCTACAAAGGGGCCTCAATTTAGAGAACTACCCACGGGAATCGGGTTGCGGATGTATGTGATCTATGCCAGGCTCTATTCTCGAGTCTGCTCTGCTTCTCCCCTCAAGTTCTTCCCTCCTCCCGTGGCTTTGAAAAGCATACAAAGCCATCTGGGCTTCTTGTTCTAGCTCCCATGGCTTGGGGAGCATGCGCCTTAGGTAATAATGATCAAACGGGTCTTGGGGCTCTATTATACTGAACGACTACGAGCGGATACAGTTACTAGTTGGTTGACGTCTACGTACATAGGTGAAAAAGAGCGGATGCTAACCGAGCGATCGCTACCCGCTGATCCGAAGCTACAGATTCGAAACTCAGCATTACGACTACCTTACGGGTTTCAGGGTTCAGGGCTTAAGTTCGCGGAACTTTGGGAAGTCTTGGGGGTTTAGGGTTGTGGATGGTATTATGCCATTTTCATGATTATTTGCCGTTTCGGGCTATGGCTACTGTTGCCACTGCTACTGCAGCCCAGATTCCCAAGCCCCCAAAACCCCAAGCCAACACCTAAACCCTAAACCTGAACCCGAAACCAGCAGTTCCTACCTGCTGAAATCCAGCTTGCAAAAGTGATGGGAGCTTGATGGCTTTGGAGAGTGTGGGGCCAGAGAAGCTAGGCAGGAGTCGCACTTCGGAGGTGCGAGGAACCTTTCTAGATTCTATCTTGGCCTTTGGGTCCAGCGTTTAGGGTTGAGGCTTTGGACTTTAAGGGCTCAGGGTGCAATGGTACGAGAAGGGGCAGCTGAACTTGCTGCAGGTAGGATCCTCAGTTGGGCCTGGGATCCCGGCTGATTGGCCGCGCTGTAGTACACCAGGTTACCTTCCTGTGTGGATTGCGGGAGCAGGCGCTGAGGGCTTTTGGGAAACTTGAGGGCTGTTGGGGCACGGTGCCGTGTTCGGAGATCGACTTCGGGCTCACAGTTTCGGGCTCTCACAGATAGCTTGGGATCCCATTGTGCTGTGGAGGGAAGATGGCGCATGAGGCCAGTCTTGAACCCAAGTGCATGTCTGTGCGTGCATATCGCACGCAGGGCTTCACCAGCACTTTTAACAAGCCGCAAAGCAGGTCAAAACGAAACATAACTGAGCAACCTGGTCATCTTTCGAGACCGGACGAAAGTATCCGGCAGAATTAAGTGCTGGAATGTCGTTAAGGGCTCGATGCCCAATGAGATTTTCCTTTCTGCAATGCAATCCTGAGCGCTCCACCCTCCTCCGCACTCCACAAAACATGACGCGCTAAAGCTTTAATTTAAGCTCCTACATCTCCGAAAAACTCAAGCAAGGAAATTCTTAGATCCTTAAGCTTTAAGCCCTCAACCTCTGAGCCCTGAAGCCCCCAACTTTAGACTCTTACACTCTATACCCTAAACCCCAATGACCCCAAACCACCAAAGCCCTCCACATCCACGCCCTTGCACTATAAGACTTTAAACCCTCAACCTGAAATCCTAAACCCTGAACTGTAAACCTTACGCCCGAAACTGAACTCTTAACGCAAGGCCCTAAACTGAACTCTAAACGCAAAGCCCTAAACTGAACTCTAAACCCTAATCCCCAAACTGAACTCTAAACTCTAAGCCCTAAACTGAACTCTAAACCCTAAGGCCCAAACTGAACTCCAAACCCTAAGCCCTAAACTGAACTCTAAACCCTAAGCCCTAAACTGAACTCTAAACCCTTAGCCCTAAACTGAACTCTAAACCCTAAGCCCTAAACTGAACTCTAAACCCTAAGCCCTAAACTGAACTCTGAACCCTAAGCCTCAAACTCAACTGTAAACCCGAAGCCGTATACATCTCAAAACCTACACCTTAAAGCCCTTGTCCGCCTCGTACCCACCCGGAAGGATGGCCTTGGATCCACAGCCCTGGCAGGGGGTCCACTCTTAGGGTTTAGGGTTTAGGGTTTAGCTTCAGGTTCAGTTAGTGTTTAGGGGTTTAGGGTTTAGGGATTAG